AAGGCGGAGGCGACGCAGCCGAGAAGGTAAAAGACGGAGTACCGCTTGCCGACCTCGTCTGGTTTTGTCAGTTCATTCTCATCTCCAGTCTAGATGAGGGGGTGGGGAACTCACATCTCGTGTACCATGTGCTGAGAAGATAGACGCAGGACGGGAAGAAGCCGGCCTCCAAGACACCGAGCAGGATTCTGCACGCATAGAGGTGAGAGTAGGTGCGCGCGAAACCCATGCCGATCATCACCGCACCCCAGAGCAGAGTGAGTCCGCCAAGGTGAAGTCTCGGGCCGATCTTGCGGACGATAATGGTCGAGGGCGGCTGGAAGATGATGTACGGGATGAAAAAGAGAAGCGAGGCAATGTTCTGCGCGGCCCATTCATTAGCAAATTCCACGCCTAATCAGCACCGACGCCTTCAATATCGACTCACGTATCGGTTCTCGAGCATGAGCTTCAACTCTACCGTCATGCCCGCAATGGCGGCCGCAGACAAGTTCGTGCGGTCCATCAGCGAGACGCAGTACATGGCGCCGACGGTCACGACGAGACGTCGGTCCACGCGGCGGATGATGGCGCGCTGCTCCTCCTTGGTGAAGCCGCCATCGACGTCGTCGACGTCGTGCGAGCCGGTGACGGAGTTGGCGGCGTTGTCGGCGTGCTCGAAGCCGACCTTCTCGGGGTCCGAGCCGGCGTACGGGTCGGAGTGCTTGTGACTCATGTTGGCGGCGCTTTCCCGTGAACGGATTGAGTTGGTGGTCTGGAAAGGAAGATCGGGACCGGGAGTGGGCGGTCACGAATAAGTCGTCGACGGAGAAGACGCAGACGTGCAGCTGCGAGTTGAGCGTCTACCCAACCCAAGGGACCGAGGGGGGGGAGGCTCTGGTCAGGCAAAGGGTCTGGAACCTGGGTTTGTCTGTACGTGTCGTGGGTGTTGCACAACAGAGCTTGGGGCTCAGCTGGAATCCCGCTCGTTTTTGTGTGTTGGGGCCGTACGTGGGACAGGGAGGAGGCACGAGGAGGAGGGACAATCGTGGTTCGGAAGGCGGGAAAGGCCAGAAGGTTATTCAACCCAAAAGACAAAATCTTGGAGGGTGCACAGAGAGGAGAGGAGACAAGAGAGGGTAGCATCAGACGACACGACGTTGATAAGGAGATATATACTCCTCCTTCAAAGACGACGGCAGAGTGAACACGACCCCAGCCCACAACTCCCGACCTCCCTTTTGAGGCTAACGAAATCCCCACGAAGCCATCCCAAACCGCTGGCGTCCCCTTGTTTCTCGTCTCTTCCCCAGGAAAAAAAGAGGATACCGCCCTCCGAAGCCAGCCCTCCGGCGTGCGTACGACAAGACACTTGGACCGCAGTTTGAGTCGCGAGATCCCCGCCTTCGTCCGGGGTGGGAGAGGGGGAACCCACCCTGGATGCTAGCTCTGGGGTGTGTTGCTGGCTGCGGGGGAACCAATCAAACTCAAAACAAGACCAGAAGATACCGAGGGTGGCGGCACCGGCGACCGACCCCGGGGGATGAAGGCATGGATGCACGGCGAGGTGTGGCCGCATTAGGGCATAAGGAAGGATGGGCAGGAGGAGAAGGACGCAGAAGAGGATGTAGGGCATGCGGCGAAGTACATACAGCACACAAACTGGCAAAGACATTCAGGGCCCAGAGAAAGACGCAGGATTAGAGCACGAAGAAAAGCAAGACACAGACAGAGACAGGCGGGCGATGTTCTCCCGGCAGAGACACCGCCCACGTTCCCAAGTGTCAATTGGCAATCTCCCACAACCACAGTCCACAATCCCATGTTTTCTTGTATTCTTCTCTTCAACAACAGTCCCGTTGATCAGTCAGTTGACAGTTATTGCCAATGTGGAAAACCCCCGTCGACCCGGACTACCTGCAAACACACAACAGCCCGTCAAATCCGGGGTACGAGGAGGGAGTGGGTTCGTCCCGGTCGCTGGCTGCGGGGTAAAACGCACGATGGGATGGGGGAGGGGGGAAATGATGGAGATGGATGGGGTTCGCCATGGGGTCAAGGTGGAGAGTCTGGAGCCTCCCTTGTCAACTCTCCCCTCCGTCTTACCTGGGTTCCTCCCCCTTTCCCTCTCTCTTTTCAGCCCACGCAATCGCTGCTTTCTCTTCCCGTATCCAGGATCATTAGATGGCGGAGAGAAATGGACTACGCGGCCAAGCCTAAGAAAAGAACCACACATTCGCAAAAGCCGGGGTAACGGGACCTGCCAACAGCCCAAAGCAGTTCGAATGGTCCGAACAGCAAAGTCATGATTCGGCCGGTCGACTCGGTACTTTGCACCGGGACGGCTTGGCGGGTATGCGATTGGACGGCCCGCCGGTCGATTGCCCGTTTCGGTGTTAGACGCGAAGCTCAGGCTAAGGCATGCAAGCCCACGCGATGAGACCCGAGAACGTACTAAGCTGCCCAGCACTGTCGACTTGACACCTGGACTTGGATTTCTCGCCTGCTTCTACACTACATACGACCCCCGGGCGGAGTGGAAGAACAGGTTGCAGGAGTTGCGGGAGGAAGGGGGTGGGAGGGAAGAAGATCGACGGAGCAGACAGGGCACCGAATGAGTGACACCCGGATTACGCATAGCATCCAGCAATGATTTGCCTGCTTCTCCATTCAAATGACAAAATCTGAGGGTCTCTTGCAGCAGTGACATAACTCATGGAGACGCATGGCCAAGATGGAACATCTGTCACCGTGCATCTTGACCGTATCTTTTTGCCCATCTCTTCAGATGGCAGATCTGGCCCGGGCTGGAATGACCGGGAGAACAGCAGCAACGATGTGTGGAAATGGATTCCGCGTCGGACCCCGAGACTAATTCTCCATCTTCTACCTAACTTCGCTTCAGTTACACTTTTTATCCGAGTTCAGAAGACCAACCGAGACCTCATCAAACCAGTCCGTCTCTTCAACCATCGACCCTCGCCTGCCAATGGCGCCAAGATGGCCCTATTACCCTTGGCAGACCCAAGTGCAACCCTCTTCCGCGCAGCTCTTCGTCAACGAGTCGTCGAATGCATCGAGCGGCACGCCAGCGGACCAAAATCACGGTCCATTCCCGACGCAGCGGTCTTCGAGAGGCATGTCTCATGCGCAACACCCTAGCGCCAATCATTCCCCCAGGATATACCAGACATAGAAGACTCGAACAACATTTCCCACTACCGTGCCCGCGGTTCAGACATCGTGTCCAGTCTCCCTTGCGTTGGCACGTTGACAATACTCGGGTCTAGACTCCATGCCGCTCGCTACCTGCGCCCTAATTACATGCCACGCTTCGTGCAACCATCAACAAATCCCCGGCGTCGTTGGCCACCGCACCGCCGCAACTCAGATCATGGACGATTCTGCCCTCACTCCGAATCAGAAAAGGATGCAGACACACCACCCTCCATCAGCCCGCCGCCGCTCATCACAGATCCCGCGCCAGAAGGAGCCAGCAGCTCTAGACCTGGCCGACCAACCCTTTCCCCTCACCCAACCTCGGCAACTTCAGCCCTTCTACGGCGTGTCATTGGGCGACGATCACCGTCTCCTGTATCCGATTGAATGATGCCCGAAGCTAATTTCAACGACACAAACTCCAATAACTAGGGAGATCTTCACCGCAGTGCCACGCGGTCGGGTCTTGGTAGCTCTGATCTCGAGAGGCTTCCCACCACTTCGGGAGACCAACCAGAGTAGGCTCGCAAGCTACGCCAAAAACGTATTATTCTGCCCAGCCCAGCCTCCATCGTGATCCTGCCTCAGGAGAGCTGTCCAGCCTCAGACTGAGTGTCTAGGTGTAACCTCTGCCGTAGAATAGACACCGAATGGGCAACGCGGCATTTCTGCGCCGCAGGTTGGCGCTGAAGGAACAGGGAATGACTGGAGGCAACCGAGGAAGGATTATCAGCTCTGATACGTACCTGAATAATGCAAACTGACGAACCAGAGCGCTTGGAATGCCCGAGCATCCTCGGTTGTTTTGGATGGCTTCAATCTGAGGGTCCCCAAGAGTTCCATCGAAATTCGCAAACCTTCGCCGTAGACTATCCTTTTCTTCATGGCAATAGTATTTTGCTGTCTGTTTTCTGATCAAGATGAATCTACGATCACATGAGTCTCCATTAGAGTTGACCGCAACCAAATGACGATAACTCGTGGGCTTCTTGCTCGACCCCTAGGCTCTAGCGTTGCGTACTTACTAACAAAAACCAACTGCTAACTTCACAGACCGAATTTTTCCAGAGATTTCTCTTTTGGCACCTCCTCCGCACATATCTACCGAGTTCCTAACGAAGCGAAGCCAAATACGCGTATCAAAAGTGATGAGGTGCGCCCTTGGAGAAGAATTTCCGTGGACTTCTCGCTGTCGTTTCTGCTTGAGACCTGCTAAGAGGCGCCTTCAGAACTTCTTCCATCTATGCGAATCTCCTTCCTAAGCGCATCAAAGTTTCAATACTACTGTGGAATCAGAAATTGATCGCAAGTGCAAGCCGGCCTTCGAAGGGGCAAGCCTACAGAGGAAAGCAGTATGCTGAACCTGATGCTCTCCGACTTGCTCCGTTACATGTATGAGTTGGCCTGTTTTCTCTGTCAACTTTCGCTGCTATCTGGGCTCTCCCGGGCATCCTTGGCTTGCATATTGTTGTTGCTATCATCGCGGCGATGGCTTTCATGTCGTACGTCGCCTCTGTTTCAGGTTCGCTGTACCAGCAACAAGCCCGCGGCAGCTTTTCCAGAGTCTGGTCCTTGAACATCATGATATTTTCCTTCGAATGCGAAGACAAATCTCCGAGATATTGCAGCCTAGTGACTTCCAGATGAGTCAGCGCGGCACAGCTAAGAATACCCAATCAACACACCACGATTGAACGGCTCCGGGGTCGCCTTGCCCCTCTTTCCATCAGCTGATGCTCCTGCTGGAAGCCTGAACCCTACAATATCACAGAGAAAGAACAAAAGAGGCCATAGATGCAATGATGTTCATCCACAGACTGCCACTGCACGTTGTTTCTAGCATCTTAGACCAGCTAGACACCATTGCAGAGCTTGGCATCGCTATTCAAAGCCACCGCATATTATACAACTCTTTCAAATACAACGCTCAGACAATATGTCGCAACATTCTATCAAGCCAAATACCACCCAACTTGTTTCCGTACGCGAACGCACTCCTCGAATCAAATGTAGTCGACCTAAGTAACCATGATTCCGTCAAAGATCTTCTTCGACGACTGGAATCTCGCATCAAGAACGATCCTAAATCTTTGGAACGATTCCCTGTTACTGCGTATGCTGCTCTCAGCCGTGCTTTGACAGCTATCGAAATCCTGAGAGAGGATTTGGTCTCGGAGGCGCTTCCCCTGTTCATGAGTAGCTTCGAGGCAGACCATGCGTCAGGGGCATCGCAGCAGGAAATCTTCCGGCTCAATAGAGCTTTCATGAGATACCAGATTATGTGCAACCTATTCTGCACGCCCTATGACGTGGGCAGTCGCTTTATTGACGAATATATAACACGATACTTCTTCCACCCTTTCTCGCCCTGGGTCAACGAGCAGATTCTCTGTGTGTACAGGTATCTCGAACGCAAGGTTGCTGAGGGTCAGTCGCTTCAACTTTACCTGAAGGGTGCAGACTTGTACTGATCATGTTTACAGCCTACGATGATGTTGCCGCTCACGATGTGGACTGGGGCAAAGTGCCCGTCGAGTGGGGCTATGACGCCAACGTCTGCCCTATGATACAATGGAATGTAAGTTCTCGTATTTCCCCGTGGCCTCCTTTCTTGTATTTAGTTTGAGGACCTAAGTTCATGGACAAAACGTTTTAATTTAATTGCTTCGAACAGCTAGGTCGCGGTCTGCCCGTTCTGCTTTCAATCATCCGTGCCACAAATTTCGAAGAAAGACGCCAGCTCTTACCTATGCATCCTCCACGCGCTTACAACATGTCCAATTTGCCTTTTCAGACGCTAGTTCATATGCTACCAGAGAACAGTCTCATAAAAGCCCTTAATCCCAACTTTTCGCAGCGCATATTAGACGAGTGCACAGAAGCGAACTTTCAACGGCTGTGCCAGCCTTTAGATGGCGTGCAGGACGATATCTCGTCAACACCCTACTTACTGTGGCGAGCCGTTCACAGTAAAGAGAGTGTGTCCTGGGTAGCAGTCGATTGGGAACTTCACAAGAATCATTGGGACTGCGCCTGCTTTGTTTGGGATCTCGAGAAGCCACAGAGATCCGCTGTCGTCCAGGAACGATCGAATGAACTCTCCGATATCGAGCCCTTCTTCCCTCGTCTTCAATCGTCTTGGGAACACGACGATAAGCTACGCTCGGAGAAGGAAAGGTGGCACATTTCTCTAGCCGGTGGGCAAGGATACTGGTCATCTATAACTAAGGACTTCAACGGAATCACAGGATTGCGCAAAGATCAACAGGACAGCTTGCTGAAGAGGTTCAAAGATTGGAAGGAGAAAGGCATTGGCCACACATGGCATCACGGATAAGTTTGCCATAGCCCGCGATGTGTCCGAGACGCGGCGAACTTAGGTAGTTGGATTCTGAGATAACTTGCTCCTCCATGATGTACATACATGTATGAGTCTTGCTATCCGGGCGGAGACTTCTGGCTACCCGGGCGAATAACTGTTGTACTAGGTCTGATGATTTATCATCTATTGACAATTGATTATCTCTATGCTACCTATCGCCCCTGTCGTCGCTATCGTCTTCGTTACTGTCCCTTTTATCGTTGATGCTTACTACTAGCCCGGACAGCAAAACTCATAAGTATGTATAGAAGCCTCTAGAGCCCCAAACTCGAATACGAGGCCGGCTGGATATCACCGCAGCTTTTCATATACCCCAGCTATCTCGCTTGTAATCGTGTCCATGTGGGAGCGGTCTTTGGCATCTATAACAAGCATCTTTTGCTCAATGATGTCCAAGAACTCAGAGATCGCAGTTGTGCAACGGCCATTACGTCTCAGCCTATCCAACCACTGGAAACAAAACTGTCAGTCACATAATCTGAATTGGACCTTGGTGAGACTTACTTCGGTGACACTTGACTTCAGCGTCGCATGCCTCCATCTCCGTCCGGCGGATTCGGCTTGCAAAATAACGAAATAGTTATCCTCTAGCACCTCAGGCAAGCAAACGTCCTCGAATTCATAGTAATCATTGGTCCTTGCGTCTTCGAACTCCATGAAACCTTCCATCCCTTCGACGTACCACGTAAAGAACTCAATATAAACACAGCCCAGGCTCCAAACATCATAAGTTGGAGTTATGGGCTCGTGCAAGTCGAACTCTGGGGCTCGATATGTAGGGGTACAGCCGTCAATGCGCGACACAAGTGACTTGGTGGCCGCCGAGTGATATCTAGTGAGTCCAAGATCGGAAACCACAAGAAGATTGCGATCATCTCCGTATGATGAGAACCAGAGAATGTTGTTTGGCTTTATATCTCCGTGGCGACCCCAGCTACTGTACGCGTCTCTTTCAGATTCTGACATAGAGCATCGCTCGCTCTTTTGTAAGCGAGATAGTCCGTGGATCAATGCGATTGCGTTAGCAATGCCCCAACATTGTTCAATCGCCCACTTTTCTCTTGTTAGGGATGGCTCAAGATGAACTAATGGATTCTGCCAGAACTCCATCAGGTTGCCATCTGCCCATTCAAATACAAGATAAAGTCTTCCTCGATATTGGTAGGTGAACAAAAGTTTGATCAGATGCTTCTCTTGCTTCACGTATGCACCGGACCTTTCCAGAGCTTTTAGTTCGTGTTTATAGCTCAACCGGTCAACGGCATCGACTTCTTTGACCGCAAAGTAGATAGATCCATCTGATGACTGGCAATTATTAGCCTATGATAGGGCACGGGAGCCTGAAAGTTTGGAAACGTACCCTGGTTTCCTTGAAATTATGGTGACTGGGGTGCATGAGCAACCGATATATGACTCCGTTTCCGCCATTGGTTTTAAGCTCATGTTCCTTCCAAGGAAGCCTGATATCAGACTCGAAATCGTACGAGTTTATTCCAAAGCCCGTGCCAATGTCGAAAAACGGGACGAAAAAGACATTTTGGTAATTGTGAAACTGATCAATATGAAATCTTTCCCAACTGCGGAACAGCGTTTCATTATGTTGAGAAGCGCGGTCGACGAACACCCTGTTGTCTCTCTCGGTGTATTGGATAGGTAGATGACCGTCACATACGTTCTCTTCAATGAAGGCATCGATGTGGTCTAGTTGACCCATATGAATGAGTATTGCGAGGATCCGCCGCCGTCCGATTATCCGACTACCATCTGTTTCTGCTGGGCATTTCTGTTCGCATTGAGTGATTCGTAGGACTTTCTCCTCCAGATCTCCTTCGACCAACTCTGGAAACTTCTCTTGCATTAATTGTGTGATGTTCAAGACTGTAAAGATCTCCTCAAAAGAGTCAATCGGCAAGTACTGCTCCCTCTTCTCCGCATGCATCTGATTCCACTCCAGTCTGTCCCTAATCTTTTGGCGGATGCAACCTTCGATCGGAAACCTTATGCTGTCATCTTCGCCGTCGTCGCTGGTAACTGAACTTTGAGAACTTTGGGTGGCGCTGATACCCAGATCTCGTACAGGTGAGACGGAACGACTGCCTGATGTGATCGAGAAGCGTCTGCTTGCCAGCACGTTATCTGAACTCTCGTAGGATGTCTCTGTGTCTCCTGTGAAGTAGTTGTTTTGCCACGGAAGACTTATCCTTGTGGGCGTGTTGTAGGCAGAATCGGTTGGAGACAGGACTATCGCCGGACTGGATTGGTTCCCAGACGACAGGGATATGGACGAGTTTCTTTCGCGAAATCGGATAGACAAAGGCCTTTGCAAAGATTCGGTCGCTGAACTCCCGCCAGTATATCGTACTTCGTAATCCTGCGTATCATTGGATTGCAGGGCCATTTTGTCCTAATATTCATCGTCAGCCTTGATCGTGGGCTGGACGAACCTTCCCTTGTTGTGCAAGAAGGCTGTGAAGATGAAAGACTTGACGGAAGATGTGACTAACCTCGGACGCGGCCGACATTGAATGGTTAGTCTATTGTGACACCCGGTGTTAGATGACAAGGGACTTGTCCAGGAGATTCGAATGTTAAGTTTGGGAGAAACTGCGTTGATTTCCTAAAAGATCATCGAGAACGGACAAACACTTGCGCTTGGGTTCCCGGAAGGTAATTGAAGGATGGTTATGGTTCGAGGTTACTTGGGGCTCCAAACTGATTGTCAGTAACGCACCTCGCCCCATACCTCCTAGCACGTGTTACGAGTTGATGAAGAGAGAGCCTTGTGTCAGCCCCTGAGCTTGATCGTCTTCAGCCTCATCTTCGGTGTCTCAAAGAATATCGAATGTACCTCAAAAAATGATATTTGTTTATTATTGGTGACTTAGCGGCTTGGTACAGATCTTGGACACAATCTCGCGCCTCATCTGGGTCATGTGCGACTGCACCATCGATTGGTTTAAGCCCGACATTGCGCAACAAATCAGCCGAGATAATATGCACTGCCCCTCTTCCGAGACCAGCCGAGGCGAACGAGTCTGTGGAGCTACATATCATTGAAATCTGACTGCCAAGGGTTGCCTTGTCTTGGATGCCTCGTTGCTTCGATCCCGCATTCGGAAGGGGTCCTTCATCGTTCAGGAATGCGATCGGGGATTCAATTTTGCGTCGTAATTTGCATGAAAGTAAGAAATTTGACGAGAATTTTTCTTTCAGGCCTTCTTTTGACTATGAAATCGTGCCCATGCCTGAGATGTGCTCAATCGCGAATAACTAACGCCCGCGTTCTGGCCCCCCTTTTAACGAAAGTGATCTGCGTACACGTGCACTCCGCCTGTAGAACTCTGCCCGCCCGCGGCAACGGAAGTCTTGTTATCTCAGAATACTTCTTCTGGTATTAAATCGTTTCGTTTGTTTTTGATTATTATTACTTTTGTGTTAGGGGATTTGGCTTTACGGATATTTGATAACGACGACGACGACGACGACGACGACGACGACGACGACGACGACGACGACGACGACGACGACGACGACGACAACGACAACGACGACAACGACGACGACAACGACGACGACGACGACGAAGATGACAACGACGACGGTGATGGCTCGTACCGCCTTTGGACCCGTGCAGTTGGGATTACGCCTCAAGTCTTGCCACCCTAGTCATCTTCAGAATATTCTCAGCCAAGCCGACATCTTTGAGCCTTTGACGGTAATCTTGTGACGCGAGGATTTTCGAAGTCTGTTCTCCTGGTCCTGCAGATTGGTTTGTCTGTCCTGTGAACTATCGCGGGGTCTGATTAGTTAAACGCTTGCAGAACGCATTTCTAGGGTCGTACCAAGTGGTCAACGAGCTCGCTCCCCGGCTCTTGCTTGACATAGATGATATAGATGTTTCTTTTCAGAAATATCTTGAACTTATTGTCTCCATAAGAATAGGAAAGAAATCTGGACAAGTCTCGCGGGTGTATGCGGTCGTGATGCTCCGTCAAAACCTTGACATATTGATCCTGCCGGACGAACTCAAGGTCTGGCTGTGATATCGCGAGCATAGTCGAAGATGCCAAGTGGAAACAAAGGAAAATAAAATGGTACTTTTTATCGTAGCGCTCACACTATTTCATGCGCGAAAACCCACCGGCGACGGAGTTATTATAAGACCTTGCGAAATCGACACAATACGAAATCAGTCGTTCAGACACACTAATTCTGCGGTTGATAAGGCTTATTGGCCTTAGTTCAGCCAGCGGCAGTGACGTATGACTGGTTGGATGCATGCAACTTTTCGGTGAGTGAAGATGGCTGTGTCAGTGTGGTGGCGCATCGCCCTTCCACAGCCTGATTATGTCTTGCCGAAATTAGAACAATGCCTCACATGCAACCAGCTGCAAGACAGATTAGGCATCCTGTAGGCTGACTGCTGTTCTGGTTGCCTTCTGAACTTGCGACCCACGGAGCCGACCTTACCATCCCGCCACCTCCGACGACGGATCGTCGATCTTAGGCATCTTGTCCGCTAGAGACTGACAACAAGCTCTTGATATCCCGAGAACGTCTTTCATTCTATGAGCTCTTAGGTGAATGACTCGGATACTTACTAGATTGAAAACTTCGCCAACGTCGTCCCTTCAATGCGTCCTTGGTTTTCATAACTCTTCCAAAAACTATCCAGTTCCCCGCTATTCGATTTGTCATTGTACTTGTCCAGACTGGCATCGAATATCTTTACTAGCAGGCAGCCATTGCTTGGCGATTTCACTGGCATCGGTGATATGCCCCGCCTGAAGTACATGAGCCTTCTCCTCACCGATCTGTGCCTCAATACAACGCCGCAGGTTGAATACTTAACCACAAGCAGGAAGCCAGGACGTACAGATTATCACAGGCTTCCTAAGCGCCAAGATTACAAATAATACTGATACTCTTCTGCCAACCTCACGCGAATCGATAAAAGTCTCCCCCAATTGGACATTCACTATTCACTGCTATTCTTGAGTGGCATCTTGGAGAAGATGGGTGAAATCCAGTATACTTGTGATGAGCTAGGAGAGGAAGTCGACATCCATTTTGAGTTCAACCATGAGAGACAGAAGTTTCTACCTTACAACAGGTTACAAGAACTGGTCGTGCACGAAAAAGTAAATGGAGCATTGAGAGACGCTGCCGTTCAGGATGCGCCGGTTCTACTTGATTTTGTCACCAGGCTTGCTCGAAAGACCTTCCTCATTCTTATCTTGATGTCAACAGTTAAGGACAAGAAGATACACTTGTTAAGAGAGCTGATGGCGAATGGGTTTACAGATGAATGGCTACCTGTTGAATTCACTGTTGATCGAAAGTCACAGCAATGGACACTTTCATCGATCAATTCGCCGGAAAACCCAACAGGTCTCCTCTCACCAGAATGGACTCGTACCGTGCGCGACGCCTTTGAACGATATCAGCGGCAAATTGCAGTGCCATTCTTCGACACGACTGCGAAATTCTACTTCAGTTTTCCTCCAGGCACAATTATGCCGTACTTAAAGGCTCCTCTCAAGCCCCAGGGTAGGGGGTTCTTTGGTGAAGTCTCCTGCTACGAGATGCACTCCGCGCACATACGCTTTCCCGGATCAAGTGCGGTAGGTTAGCCTTTTGAGCACTTTCTGGTACTGAGGCTAAGTAGTATTAGAATGCCGAAAAGCCTTCAATCAAACTGGCTGTGAAGAAGGCGAATGACAACGCAGATCTCGCCAAATTCTTCAGAAAGGAAGCCGAGAATCTCAATGCGCTCAAGAACAATACGACCCCAAATCTGATTAAGCCTATAGCTGCTTACGAGATCAACGGAGACAAGTGCTTACTTTTCCCCTGGGCGGACGGAGGTAGCCTGAGCAATTGCTGGAGATGCTGGAAGGCTGGTCCCCTCGACCCAGCCGGGATGGAGTGGATTGTCAATCAATTTAGGGGTATCTTCTTAGCCCTCGGCCAGCTGCACGACTCCAACTGTCGACATGGCGATTTGAAGCCTGACAATATACTGTGGTTCAAGGATGCACGAAATAAAGGCGAGCTTCAGATTGCTGATCTTGGCCTGGCCACATTTCACCAACTGGACGCTGACACCAGGAAGAGAGAGGAGCTTGTCATTCAAACCACAACACCAACCGGCACACGTCGCTACCAGGCCCCAGAAACGGATGGAGAGCAATATCATCGTAGCAATCCGCCTCGCTCAAGATCATATGACATGTGGTCAATGGGCTGTGTCATGTTCGAGCTGCTCATATGGCTGGCATACGGCAACGATGATGTTGAAACTTTTCAACGAAGCACGCCCGACTTCTTTTGGGAACGGGTCTCCAATTCCACAACTTTTAACAAGACATACAGCATAAATCCGGTTGTGAAACAATGCATTGATATTATGAGGAAGGATTTCCCACGCAACACAGTTTATGGAGACCTTTTCGATCTTATCAGCCATCAACTTTTAGTCTTTAATCCATCAAATGATCAAACTCCGTCCGAGGCACACCGTTTGACTGCCCACGAAACTGAGGCACTCCTTAACGATATCAGCAGGCGATTGGAAGATCCGTGGTACATTCCATTGCGGTCGTCCAGGTATCCTCGGTTCCAACGCAATGGTGGGCTCTTTCCATCAGATCAGCGATCCCGAAACAAGGCGGATTATCAAAAAGTAAGAGCAAGCTAGCCTTGATTTACATCCCAGAAATTTCTTGAGACTGACAAGGGACCTTGAAGTATGTAGGTAAAGTCTTAGTGGATGGCTCGTGCAAATGACCACTGCTAACTCACCTTTCTTTCCTCCCACGTAGAACATGGTAAGTACCGATTGCTGAGCAACGCGCCAGCTTGCCTCTTAGAACCCAAGGACACTTTCTAACCAACTCTAGATCGTAAGCATTGCCTTTCCAAGAGTCCAGGCAAGAAATCGGCCAGCTAATGTGCACCAGCTAGAAAGCAAGTTCAACGATGTATGGGATTCGACTCCAGATGAGGACCTTGCAGCGAAACTTTCCAAGACTACTCTTTGGCGTCAGTTGCAGCCAACTCAGGATGGCGACACGAGATTATGCAATCGATGCACTGCAATGAACATGGCCAATTTAGCTGGACCTTGGGTATTTCAACAGGGATGTGGACTATGCAATCTCGTCCGCCAAGCTCTTCAACGGGCACATATGCCGCTATCGTCAAGACTACAATTGCAGCGCGGTACAATACACGCAGAGAATGGCTCGGATCTTCTCTCCATTTACAAACCACCAGGTATTTGAATGTTCCGCATAGTTCATCAAATGGTGCAGTTATTGACGATGGAATCAGGAAGTATCTCCCAAGGGGAAGCGCAGGAAGGCCTACCGATGCTACCCAGTCAGGCAAGTCCTGAACAGTTCACCATTTTGAGCGAGTGGGTCAGGTCATGCGATTTCGATGCGTCTCACGAGGTATGCCGCCGCAGCAAGTATCGCGATGTCACTAGCTCGCCGACACGTCTCATTGATGTACGCGATGGACTTCGCCTTGTGCCATCCGATTCAGTGCCAGTTTCTGATTACGTTGCTCTGAGTCACTGCTGGGGGAAACTCGAGGAACATCAAAGGTTTTGCCTCTACAAAGACAATATCAGCCAACTGCAGAGATCGATCCAGTTTGAGCGGCTCCCCCAGAATTTCAAAGACGCTGTAACCGTCACTCGAGGCCTTGGGGTCAGATATCTCTGGATTGACTCTATTTGCATCATTCAGGACGATGCGCAAGACTGGGAAGTGGAGTCTTCTAAGATGGAAGAAGTCTTCAGCTCCGCATATGTGACTATAAGCGCAGTGTCCGCCAAATCATCCCTAGACGGGTTCCTTGGAGAAAGACCCTCCCGGGCCTGTGTTCAGGTTCAGGTGGATGGTAAGCAGCCTCTTTATGTGTGCCCAGCCATCGATGACTTCCACCGGGATGTGGAACTCGGAGAAATCAGCAAGCGCGGCTGGGTGTTCCAGGAAAGAGCGCTTTCACGCCGCACTATTTACTACACCTCTACGCAGGTGTATTGGGAGTGCGGATCAGGCGTCCGTTGCGAGACTTTGAGGTGTCTTTACAAGTGAGTTTCATCGGTGGAGATGATGGACAATTTACTAACAATGTGCGTTTAGCTCCAAGGCCGCATTCCTCAGCGACGCAAACTTCCCCCATTCGGCGCTCAACCATTACAAGGATGGCCGACAGATGCTGATCCAAGACTTATACGAGCGTTACTCTGCTCTAGAGTTTTCGTATGCATCAGACCGAGCAGTCGCTATACTAGGTCTTCAAAAGCGGTTGGCAAGAGCCTTCGAGACTCGGGCAACATATGGGTTGTTTGCGATATACCTGCATCGCGGGCTTCTCTGGAGGCGAAACCAAGCCGAGCCAATCAAAAGCATTGCACAGCCATCAGGTCGCCACGTGCCGAGCTGGTCATGGTTCTCCAAGATGGGCGCTATCAGGTACATGGATCTTAAGTTCGACAGTGTCAAATGGACAAATGACATTGAAAGCCCCTTCATCGGCGAGGCGTCCGGAGGCTCAATGGGATATACCGGCGTGAGGACTGCCAGCGGTGCTCCAGTTGTACGCGCCCTGGCCAAGGATTTGAAGCTCTCCAAAGCTGAGCTTTTGAAGAACGCCATATTTGACGATCGGAACAATTTCGAGGTTCATGACCTGTTATTTGCTGTCATTGGCTGTGATAAGGATGAGAACAGCATGGAGGTACGGGTTTCACACGGTCTGATCATACGGAAGCTTATAGAAAACTTGGATGAACGTAGTCAGGGCACATACGAAAGGGTGGGAGTGGCATCTTTGAAGCCAAGTCAGATCATGGACGGCGGATCATGGGTAAAGGTTTGCTAGGTTGTCAGGTATTCTCATTGATGTAAATTGAACGTTTGATAGCCTTCAAAAGAAGGAAAGATTATCTCCATAGTGTCCCAGCATCTTCGACGCCAATTTTACGGCGGATAATTAATAGTTTGTTCAAGTCTATGAAGGATCTGTTCTGCATTACGCCGAAGTCTGAGACCGTATGCCGTGCGTTTCACTCTGGTCAATGGAGACAACAGCAGTCTAATCCTAGAGACCGCCTCATTCTCCTGTGTCTGTGTATATTTCACGTATATTTAATTACTCCTAACGTCATCGATAGTATAAGTGATAATAATAATAACAGCGACGACGATAGCAGCGAAGACGATAGTAATGACGACGACGGCGGCGGCGGCGGCGGCGGCGGCGGCGGCAAAGAGTAGTCGCTCTAGCACAGGAAAATCAGGCGGTCCCTCGATCTGGCTCTTCAACATGGTTCTGCTTGTGGCTCCATAGTCGTGTCACATTCTCAGCAAGTCTATCTCAATGTCTTAGAAATATGACATGGCCTTGCACTTTTTATGGCATCATCTTGGGGGTTGGCGCGAATGCAACCGCTTTGATATCTTACTTCTTTCAACTGGGCTGCAGCCGCGGCTGTTATGCACTGCAGAGTGATAAAACAGGCACTAGAACGTCTGATTGAGCGGCACAGCAAATCCTACGAGGTATTTCTGTCGCCATCGAGCGCGGCTGACTTGCATGAGGAGTCGCATTACGCTGACCAGTCAGAAGGCAGTTTCGTTTCAAGCTGCCTTAGTTCATAGACTTGCCGGCTAAGACGCATGGATGGCTAGAATCCCAACAAGAAGCAAGCATCAGGCCATCGGCGATGATCTATCACACCTCCAGGGTGGGTGGGACGACGTTTGAATTTATTTCCCGATGCTGAGCGAACCGACTTCGCTTTGCTTTTGGGCCAAGGGCGCTGGATTGGGATCAACATTGGCACGTCGACGCTGTATGGATACGTACATTTCATTGGCGACGGACAAGGGTGACATTGTTCAACTTTACATCAAGAAACCATCGACCAATTTCACATTCACTTCCACATGGAAAAGATACGAAGCCACAAGGATCAAGTGAAAGACTTCTGTGATTGCGAACAAAATTGGCCCTGCTCGGAGCCTTTCTATAATATATATACAAGTATCATAAGATCGTATGCATCATAATGTGGTATCCTGGTTGCATCCCGTGCAAATGCGCTTACTGGACAGCGACGGCGGCGACGCCGGTGCCGTAAGCGATGTTGGTAACAGGCTGGTCCTTGAGAGCGGTCGTGACGCCGAGACCGCTGGGGCAGGAAGCCTGGTTGCTGACAGCGAGATCGAGGTTGCAGAGCTCGTCAACGCCCCAGGTGCAGGCAGAGTTCTGGATGTTGTAGAGAGCGTAGTTCTTGGCGACGAAGCTGTTGGGCTGGGCCAGGCAGGAAGCAAGGTAGTTCATGCTGTTGGCGGCAGAGAGAGGGAATTTGCCGTTGTCCTTGAGGAGGAAACCGCACTCGCTGGCGGGGACGGCCTCCCACTCCATGGAGATGGGACCACCCTGGCTGGGAGCCTCAGCGGCGCCCTTGCCGGTGCTGAGGTAGTTCCAGGCGTCGTAAGAGATGTCGTAGGCACCGCCGGACTGGTCGATGCGGAGCAGATGGACGTAGCGCTCGCCGTTGGTGACCTTGACGCAGATGTCGTCGCAGCCGACAGAGTTGGGCCAGTAGGCGACGCGGTTGGTGTTGATCTTGCAGCCAAGAACGCCGATGGAGGAGGAGAAGGCGTCGTGGGGGGTCATGCCCGCGGTACCGGCCTTGCCGGAGTCGCGGATCGGGATGGAAGCGGCGGAGACCAAGCTGGCCGAAGCAGCGAGGATGGTGGTGAAAGCGGTAGCGAACATATTGGCTGTTGTTGAAGTGGAAGATGTGAAATCTGAATCTGTTCCTAAAATGGGTCGGTTGCCGGGGTTGAAAGCTCGAGATCGAGGTATGAGATTCTTTCTCAGAAAGACTGGATATGGTATGCTTGCAAAGGAGTGAAGCTAGTAGTTGGTATCAAGGACTGGTTCCTGATCTGTAGAGCTTTCGGTGCCGGCCGAGGGAGTGACTGGAGGAAGAGAAGAAAGAGTAAGGATGGTTGGTTGGTGATCAGAACAGAAGCATCCCGGAGAAGATGAAACTGGGGGAGCTTATATATGAGAGTCCCATGTCTGCAAAACGAGCAGATGGCAAAGCTGAATAACAGCGTTGTACCCAGGGGAGATGAGATGTCACCCACACGGACGACGAACCAGAGTCCAATGCTCGGTCCATCTACGGAGACCCATGCAGCAGGCGTCGGCGACCCCACAGCTACGCCGCAGTCGATGATGACGGTCGGCTGAAATGATCCTTTGGGGGAAAAGTGAGATTGAGAGAGTCAGCAAGGGCCGAGGCTGTGGGTGCCTCCCGACCCGCAGGCGCGAGTCGGGTCGAGCTGGTCAATCAAAAAGTGCCAGGAATCTGACAAGCAAGTCGTGGAACCACTGGAAACGTCCCTGACGCTGCGGTGATCCATCGCAACATGGAGAAACAAGGTCACAAACAGAGTTGTCAGAGCCCTAATTGAGGGGGTGGAAGAGCGCAACGCTAGGCCGGGAACGCCCCTCGAGAAGGTTGAGTTTTCAAGCCCATTGTGAACGGTTTCGGGGAAATCAGCCATGAGGAAACATGGCCAAGGCCCAAGAGGGAAAGGAGGATGCGCGCTGTCAGGGGTGAAAATCGCTCATGGGTCCCCTTCGGACGACCGAATAGAGTTTAGTGACAGGAACCGCCAGGAACCAAACGTTCTTTGGGCGCCGGACAAGGGAGCGCCAAAGCCCCAAAGGAGCCGAGGGAAGGCCTAGCTACAGTTAGTACGGGCTAAAGGGGGACCAAAGAGGCGGCACAGCGGGGGCTACGGGAGTCAGGAAGGGTGGTGGACGGCACGGCACACGGGAGTCATGTTGGTTTGCGTGGTGCTTGTGTGTAGCTTGCCCTAGGCACGGCAGTGGGTTGTTGAAGGGTTTGCTGAATTGTCGGTGGACGGACGATACAAAGGATTCATGGGACGGACATGGGATGGCGATGGGACGGACATGCGTGCGATGTGTCATGTGCTCGTCCGCCAACAGACACGTTTGCATGTCGCCTTTCCCCTCTACTTGGGCTGACGGGACGGCGGATCAACGATGGCACAGATGGATCATGCAGGTACACGGCGCACCGCTCAGCGGGAAACAACGCAGAGAAGCAAGGCAAAAAAGCCGCGGACGAAACAGAAGGCCTGGAGTGCGCGTGGGAACCTGACGCCACGCGGTTCCAGCCCTGACGCTTGACTCGGCGCGGAACAGTCGGCGGGCCACCCGCAGAGCCGGACATGCTGGTCCATCCAGCCGGAACGAGAGAATTCGCATCCAGAAGCCTTGGAGCAGCCACGACAACGTAGCTTTGCAGCGATCGCCAGGGCGGATTTCTCAGAAAGATGCGGTGCAACCGTACTTTGACACCAAAGGAAGTAGACTTTTCCTCAGAAACCGCTCCAACTGGTCCACGGCAGGTCCCACAAGGCTCCAAGCCTGGGCGGCTTTCTGTGCCAGCTGTTATTTTGCTTTTTGCTCGTCAAAACTTTCCAAGGAACCCAGACACCAGGTCACTCTTCCACATCCAAGTACCCGAGAACAGGGCACACGGCACAGCTGAGAGACTTGGTCGTGTGGTACACCCCGCTTCCTCTGCCCAGTTCTCCCGTCCCGCCGCCAGCTTCCCACGCCGTCAGCCGGGCAGAAAACCTCTCGTCCCAGCGGCCGTGATGGATGCGTGACGGCGCGTTGGCGTCATGTCGGCAGCTGGCGATGGGTCTCGCGACGTTCTGGCCAAAAGTGCTTGCAGCTGTATCCATGCAGCCGAGACGGCCGGTCTTCGCCAATGGGATGAGCCGCATTGTAAGAGGGCGCAGCAAAAATTAATAGGCCGGTACTTTTATGTAACGAGAAATGTCTTACAGTGGCGTTGCTCAAAGGCGGCAACCGGTATGCAACCGGTAGAAAACGCCAGGATCTTTTGGATTCCCCTCACGAGAATTTTGCGATTTCATTGTCCATTGTCAGTCTGCAGGTTTTTCTTATCATAGTCGCTCGCAATAAGTCCGAAAGATCTTACAAATTGAGCGATTTTATGTCCGCACCTTTCCCGACACTGGCACTTGCCGAGACCCGTGAGGAGTTCTAGCCTCTGGGCCGCTTCGGCTTCCCAAGATCCGCCCCGGCAGCGGAGATGCCTCCGTCGTGCGGTCTTTTGTTCACCATGATTCAGTCGACGTCGGCAAATATGATTTTGAGCGCATATTAGTCACAACAGTTAAGATCTTGGATCGGGCAGATTGTTCACCCGCTGGATGCATGTGATGATGCTTAATAAGTCAGGTTCTTGTTCATGAATCTTATGTCATCCTGTTGGTGCGCCTGGTGGTACATACATGGTGACGGTCTGTTAACATCAGCAACTACGAGCGGCGATGCCCGCGTTGATGGACAAGTCAATGACAGCGAACATGCCATTTCCCCGCATCCAGTAGACACCGCATTGTAAGTGACACGCTGCAGATTCAGACGTTAGGATGCGGGGATGACAACAATCGGAAATCCAGAGCCAGAGGTTCCACCGCAGAGTTGTGAGACAGTCTTGTGTCCCAGTCAGCTGGACTGAAGCGCGGCATCACAGCATACAAGGGAGAGATAAGACGCAGTGCTTTCGCCTAAACATGCCAGCTTGCAATTGTAAAATCCAATACACCGCCCACAACGAAGAGGCCTTCGGGCTTGTGAATCAGCCCTCCACAGCATGTTACCTGCAACATACCATGCGAAGGATCAAGGTCATGACTGTATTTCCATTGCGCCATGCGTGGGCTCCAGCTCTGAATGAGATTAGTGCTGAGAATCAAACAAAGTGCGGGCTTTCTCACCTTGGTCGTAAG